GCTATTTCCAAGATTTAGCTATTGTAACCTATACAGTTACGAACAAGGCAGTACATGTACCACTGTGGTATGATGCTTTTAGTTCTTTCAGAAAGACACCCAGAAGAAGAATAGCTGAGTCAAATGCAACCTCTAATCCTAGTTTTTTGAAGAATCTTCACACTGATTTCCACAGTGACTGCACCAGTTGACACTCCCACCAACAGTGGAGAAGGGTTTCTTGTTCCTCATAGCTCCGTCCGCATTTGTTATTGGTTGATTTCTTGATAACAGCCATTCTTTCTGGAGTGACATGGAATCTCAGTGTTGTTTTAAGTTGCATCTCTTGAATGACCAGTGACGCTGAACATTTTTTATATCTTTATCTGCTATTTCTAATTCTTCACCTGAGAAGTACTTATTCATTTTAGATGCCCATTTTTGAACTGGGTCTTTGACTTCCTTCATTAGATTGATTCCGAACTCTTTGTTTTTTTTTTTTTTTAAGATGCTATTGTGAAAGGTATTGTTTCTCCAATTTCTCAGTGAGTTTATGTATACATGGAGGCTATTGATTTTTGAGTGCTGACTTTGTCCAGCTGCAATAAGGAATCTGGCTATCAAATCTAGAAGTGTTTTGGTGCAGTTAACTCTGAAGTTTTTAAAATCCGTTTCTGTAGAGTTCTCTTACACGAAAACTGATAATCATCTAATTTCAGGGATTTTAGAGTTATAATTATAGCAGACTATGTGACTTTTTTTTTTACATGAATTAGTATTTAGTAATACTAAAGTGTCAGAGTGCTTAGTTAACGTTATATACTGAACTCTGAAGAAAAAGTATCTGTTAATTATCATAATTATAAGGTCCATGAAGAACGAAACCATAGACTGTAGTAACATGCAAACAAACTCCTTCTTTGAAGCATGGAGAAAAGTTGGCTTGATTTACAACAAAGAAAGAGATATTAAAATTTTACTTTTTTAAAAATTTTACTTCTTAAGAGGAATGATGGAAACATCTGATAATGGTCAGGCTTGGAGGGAGTAAGCCCACTTTAACCTCAATTACCCACTGCAAAATGCTGAACAAAACACACAAAAACCAATACTTGAGGACTATAAACAACTACAATACCAAGAAACAAAGCAGTAAAAACTTGAAGAGAAATCCCATCCTACTTGGCCAGCGGGGCCGAAAAAAGCAGTGCTAATAGGTGTTGGTACAGAGGGAAGCACTTGCGTTCTTTCTCTTTTCTGCCTCGTAAGTTTTCTTCTTTCCTAGTCCCACCTGGAGGGCAATGTTAGCTGTATAAATTGCATGGCAGCAGCATGGTAGTGAGCATCCCTACCTACACACACACACACACACACACACACACACACACACACAAAACCAAATCAAAACATCTTTCTGGACATCGCAAGTAGGACTGAAGAGCATGAAAGAAACTCAGCTGATCGTTCCAGCGCTTCCCTTGCCCTCTGCCTGCGTCACATGCAGCTATGCAGGTAACGTTTCTAGAGCGGCAGTGAGGAGCCTCTGGCACATGTGTAGTTTTTAAGACAAAAGATGTTCATGTATGAGTTGTTATAAGGAATCTACAAAAAAAGCATCCATGACTAGTAAGTGAATTTAATAAATTTCTATAGAGTAACTATAGCTCTGGAAATCTTAATCATTTATAATCTCAATACAAGCATAAAATATTTAGGTGTAAATCTAATGATATGTGAAGCCCTGTATGCTAAAACTGTAACAACAATGAAGGAAATTGAAAAAATACTGTGGGTTTTTTTTTCTTTTGTTTATTTTGTCTTGTCATTTTCTTTTTCTTTTTTTAATCCTTTCTGACATAGGGCTTTGCTATGCAGTTCAGGCTGGCCTTCAACTGATCTTGTAGTCCAGGATGGCCTTGAACTTGTAGGGATCCTTCTACTTCAGTCTCCCCAGTCATTGCAGGCATGCATCACCATGCCCAGCCAAAAATACCATGCTTTTAAAATATCATTCTCTCTTAAGTTAACAGATTGAACTCAGTCAGAATCCCGGCATGATTTTTTCTTTGGTACACTCTGCCAAATGGACTAACGTTTTTATAGAAAGGCAAAAGATTTTGTGAAAAGCCAAAACAAAGAAAGACTCATTACTATCTGATTTCAAGATCTTCTATTAGGTGCAGTCAACAAGATAATGCAGCAATGATAACGTACAAACATACAGATCAACAAAATAGAATAGAAAATTCAGCAGATCAACAGGAATATGGTCAATGGATTTTTCAAAAAGATGTGAAGCAAATCAATTGAAAAACGGTGCTCTTTTCAATGAATCATTTTAGAATTACTGAACATTCATCACAATGCAAAAAACAAACAAACAAAACAAACCAACAAATACTGTGTTCTAAATTATATCACAGTGGGTCATACAGTTAGATATAACTTAAAATTATAAAAATTGTAGCAAAAAAACTTTGTGAATTTGGGTGCACCATATAGGGTTTAGATAAAACATCAAAAGCATAATTTGCAATGAGAAACTGACACCTTTTTTGTGGCAGGGATACTGGGGATCTAACTCTCAACCTTGCACTTGCCAGGCAGCCACTTATGCCACGGAGCTAAACCCCTAGTCCTGACAAATTGAACTTCATCAGAATTAAAAAACTATTCTGTAAAAAAAAAACTATTCTGTGAAAGATACTGTTAAAGACTAAGCTAAATCCCTGGCCCCGGTAACTCTACCCATAATCACCAAAACTGAAAACAACACATATGTCTTTCAACTGGTAAAGGAACAGACAAACAGTTTACCAGACAACAAAATACTACTCAGAAATAAAAAGGCACGAACTACTGGTACAAAGAATAATGTGAAGATTCTCAAATAGGGGCTGGTGATTTAGCTCAGCAGCATAAGCGCCTGCCTTGCAAGCAGGCAGTCGTGAGTTCGATCTCTGGTACCGATAAAAAGGAAAAAGACAAAAAAAAAAAAAAGATTCTCAAATAGATTATTCTAAGTGATACCCAAAAGTTACATGATTCCATTTATATGACATTTTGAAGAGGCAAAACTATTACAGTAGAAAAGAGGTTAAGTTGTCAGGGGTTGGAAGTGAAGGAAAGATCCTTTTGTCATAACTATAAAGAAGAGTATGAAGGAATACTTGTGTATATGTGTGTGTGTGTGTGTGTGTGTGTGTGTGTGTGTGTGTGTGTGTGTTGGTGATAGTGGGGATACGGAACTGTTTTCTGTTTCAAGCACAGAGGTAATATGACTCTACATTTTTTAAAATTCATAGATACATATCACAAGAGTGAAAGTAAAAAATAAGTGAAAGTGATTTTTAAAAATTTAAATAAGTCAGGCATGGTAGCTCATGCCTGGCAAGTTGAGGCACAAGGATCTCAAGTATAAGGCAAGCCTGGGCAGCTCAGTGAGATCCTATCTCAAAATTTAAAAAAAAGAAAGAAAGAAAGAAAGTAAGGCTAGGGATCTTCTCAGTGGTACAGCACCTTGGGTTCAATCTCCAGCAAAAACAAACATTAAATGATGGTTTAGAGCTGCAAGCTAATCTATGATGCGAAGTGAAAGACTAACATGCCTATTTTTAGAAAAGCAGATTTACTAGGTGCTTTGTATTCTGTTTTCAAATGAATCCACAAAATTATTTGGGGTCAAAACTCAGGAAAACTAAAAATAAAGGAATGCAACCTGACACATAGTAGTACACTGAACCTTAAAACTGTACCCACAATGTGGTATATGAATTATATTTCATATTAAAACACACACATACTATACCTGAAGCAGTTCATACCTCTATTCCAGTGTTTCCTAAACTTGTCCAGTAAGAAGCATAGTCAGCTTGTTAAAAATACATATTCTCGGGTTCCTTCCTTAGAGACTCTGACTCAGTATTCTAGGTTAGAGACTAAGCTGTCTTTGTAAAAGGCACTCTTTCTTCAAGGAATTTTCACTACCAGACAAGTGCAAAAAATAACTGCCACCCTTAATTCTTCCTTAGTTCCAAAGCCAAGTAAAAACATTTTGAATTGCCTATTCAAGCATGTTCTAGATATTTTCTAGTAGACCAAGATAGTGACTTTTACAGTACAATAGTCACATCCCAGAAAAATTCAAGTGGATCCACAGGAATATGAGAACAAATACTGTTTTTCTGTATATTTTAACTTTAAATTTCAGACTTCAAAGTTTTTCTATTTCAGGAGTACGTTTTATAACCTACACAGTGTATCAGTGCAATAGTAACGAAAATTGTCTTTCTCCATAGTAGGATGTATGACAGCTTCAGGGCTTCTGACTTACTGTCCTTAGCAAAAAATCTGGAAGGTGCCTACCTTTCATACTATTATTAAAGTCTAATAGATATTGGCATTTAAGAGTTCCGTTCCCTGATTTAATAGTTTTGGTTTTAGCCCTTCACAGGTAATTGTAAAGTTTCATAATAGTAACTGGTTTTGCTAAGTCACAAATGTTAATTAAGCAGACCTTCTAGCTGACATGAAAGATCAAATCACTAAGGTGGTGAGTGAACCCAGCTGACTACTGAGTTCTTACCCTCTCACAGGTACTGTTCTGTCCATCAGTGGTAGTCAGGCAAAGCCTCTTTTAATTTTGTAATTGCTCTTGCCAACTGAGTCCTCATCAATTAACCTACAAACTTTACTGTAAAGAGCCCCTAGTCCGAATATGTGTATCTATATATATTCTTACTCAAAGAACACTACAGCTGCAAGCCTACCATATGGGATGTGTGTGTGTGGGGGGGCGGGTTTGAGTAGGCATTAAAAAAGAACTGTTAAAATGACTGGAACTTATTTGTCATTACAAATAAATGGTAAGTGGTATTCATGAATTGGGGCACTCAATTCACAAACTGCTAAGGATGTATTCAATGTCAAAAGTATCATGAGATATCCAAAATACCACTTAGCTACCTGCTTCTGACAACCTTCCACTAATATATCTCAAATAAAGCTCTTCTCTTTCTCACCCTCCAGAATATCTTCATAAAGTGCATGTACTCCTTCAGGCACAATGACTGCCAGTGCAGTTCCACAGAGCAGGCCAGCACCCAAAACAGTCACCAGCTTTAGTCGCTCCTGGAAAGAAAACAAAAGAAACCATTGAAAAGGCTATTAATGAACAGGGAACAATATCTGAAGTATCTATTATCAAGATAGTGAGTTCCATATTTGTAATCAACAGCAACAATGGCTAGTAAACATGAAAATGGTCAGCATCATGAATAATTAATACCAAATTTTAAAAAACCAGCTGGGCCCAGGGGAGCATGCCTAAGTGCCAGCTACTTACAAAGCTGAGGCAAAGCCTCCTTGAGCTTAGGAATTCGAGGACAGTCTGGGCAAAATAGATCATAATTTTAAAAAAATAGCAGGCTGACAATGGAGGAAAATGTCTAAAATACATGAAAGGGAGAAATGAATATGCTTGCAACTCTAGAAGCAATGTGAATTGCTACAAATTATCCCAGTGGGGGAAAACCTGTGGCATGTGTGCTGCAGCTGGCTGTTGGTTATCACTGCAAACTCTGAAACAGCCAATATCAGCGACCTATCTGGACTACTATTTGGTTATTTAGATTTAAAGCCTCAAAAATGTAAATTCTTACTTATGCTTTCTCTCCTTCCCCTTACCTTCTCCTATAACTATCTTTTCTCCTGTGTTTAAAAAAAAAAAAAGTAATTCTATGACTGAAAAACTTCAATTCTAGAAATGCATCTTTAAAAATTTAGCAAAAATGATCATGAAATTTATTAAGAGGGCAAACTTAAGATAACCTAAGTGTTCAAGAAAGGAGAATAGCTAAAGAAACTATAATGCTTCATCATGGTACCACAACACATAGCCATGAAAAATTATGGTACATTATAATGTATATTCATGTATATATACAATTATATTCATATAATGTATATGTATATTGTATATTCATGTATATTATATTCATATAATGTACATTCATAATATATAGAACAAGTACAGTATACATTAAACATAAATGTTTTATTTATAATTTATAAACACATATGCAATATATAATATATAATTTATGAAACATTTATAACTTATCTACAATGAACATCTATTATTCATAGTATTAAAATATTTTTAATGTCAATAGGAAAATTGTTCTGTGGTTTTAATCCAGCCTAATCCCAACTGTGTTCTTTTAGAGCCTGCCTCCTGTCAAATAAAGGTTTAGTTTTAAAGTTCCTGGAAGCAATATTGTACTCTAATATGGCTTTCTGGCATCTTAGAATTATGAGAAATAATCTTAGAAAGTACAAGGTGGTATATTGCTCAGTGGGGAAACCACATTTAGCATGCATGAGGCCCTGGTTTGATGCCCACCTCACAAAACAAAACTACAAGACAGTAATTATGAACTGCTTCTGAAAACATGGCATATCATGTGCTTCACCTTTCCATTTCAGTTTCCTTGATGTTGGCAAAACAACAGGAGTTATATTACATCTGATATTCTACTGAATTCTCTCCTGACTGTGATGTTGGGGCCCAACCAGCCTTTATAAATACAGCCTGTATGTGAAATGGTTGAAACCTCAAGTCCTCTTCGTTCGGGAGGTGGGGTGAGGGTAGTGATAGAGACCGACATCTCACCGCGTCTAGTCAAAAGTGGCAAACTACAGCTGCAGTGTCAACACCGACTATGGCAGGGTAGAATCTTCCCTTCCTACCATACAAGCCAAGTGCCACCCTCCCATCAAGATGCCATTAGCCACTGTGACACCGAGTGATCTGAATGAGGCTGGTGGCTGCACAGTGGCCGAGGAGCCAGAACTAGCCCCATGATCTGATCAGCTAACAACTCGGTCCCTCAACCTTCCTTCTGTAAAATCAAAGCATTTCTATACGTCTTGTGAAGAGAGGCGGCAATGTAAGAAAGTGACAGGTAGATAGCAAATGTTGCTCCATTACTATTAACACAGTTACTCTACAATTCTTTAAGTTACTAAATTCTCCCCAAAGCACTGCTGACCAGTGTTCATTTAAGAAAAACTGTCACAGCAGGAACATAAGCAAGATGCAAAAAGTTCTGTATAGAAGGTAACATGGTGACTCCTGCATCATTCTCCCTAACCAATTCATAGAAGTTATCATTGTTTTTAAATAAGAATGTGAAGTATCACTCCTTAAAAGGTACAAAAGTCAGGATAAAATGAAACTTGGCCAAGCATACCTATTTCCTTTGGGGGAACTGGTTTCTTAATGTCACAATTTAAACTAATGAATAAGCTGCTAAGGAAAACTGTCCTGTCAGCATTTTGACTCTGCACCACCTCAGGAAACAGATATGAGAGACTCTGCTTGGCAAATTAAGAAAAGATGAAAAGTGACGAGAGATGTATCAAAAATAGTAAGAGCTTATTGCTTTCAAGAATTATTCAGGCAGTTGCTCACATCATGCACATAAACTATTTCTTGATTCATTATATCCCTAAATTTAAGACTTAAAACTCAAAAAAAAAGTTACGAGAAGAAACCTATGAGAATATCTGCAGTTTTAAGATTGGCAAAGATTTCTCAGCAAGGATACAAAAAACACAATCCATAAAAGAAAAAAGTTCAACATCAAATATAAAATGTTTGCTTACTCATTAAGAAAATAGACAAGTTACCCTGTCTGAATATAATACCCTGAATATATATACACATATATTCTACACAATAATACCCTGAATATATATATACACATATATTCCTATCTCTGTCTCTCTCTCTATATATATATCTATGTATCTACATATACATGTATACCTAAGTATGTACACACACACAAATACACACACATTTGTAGTGGAAATACATGTATCTGGGGTGAATGCCATGGTGACACTGCCCACTTCAGTCCCCACTAGGTAGGAGACACCTGTTCTGCAGGCTGCTGTGGGGGCGCTATCTACTGATGGCTCACAGCCGAGTCCCTCTGAGAAGCTGACCTCGGCCCACGGCAAATGACTAACTTGAAGTTATACCCTCCCCCGGGCAGTCAGCAGAGGTAACTAAACCTTCTCAGACTGTGGAAGGAGGTATAAAGCCTGTCCCCCTGGCCTCAAAATGCAGGATATCTGCAGGGCCATTCAGCTGCAGCATCTCCTGTGAGGTGAGCTGGGTCTCTACCGCAACTGAATTACATCCCGCTTCTCCCCTCTGCTTTACTCGGGCCCGCTGTCTCACAGGGGTTGTTCCCATGACCATGTCTCACTCAAGTTCTCTGCAGAGTGGGTTTTATGGGAACCCAATCTAAGGAACTAACAGAGAACCTGTAGGTGAAACGTTAAAACTTTTACAACTCAGTAGGAAAAGAGAAACAGCCCAATAAAATATGGGTAAAGCATTAAACAGGTAACTTGCAAAAGATATATGTGAACAGACAATAAATCCATGAAAAGGTTTTGAACAAATTTAGTCAACAGAAAAAATGCAAATCAAAACTATGTGAAGCATTTTTTCACACCTATTTAAAATGCCCACATTTAGAAAATCGGATAACCCTAACAACAAAGATACAGAGCAAGGGAAATCCTTACATATTACTGATAGGATAAAATACTGCAACTACTTTGGAAATTGGCAGTCTCTTTTTATTCATAGAGGCTTTAACAATAATGGTCACAATCTCTACTATTAATTTTTTTATTATTTTGGAGACACAGTCTTGCAATTGTCATCTAGGCTGGCCTTGAACTTGGGTGTGCACCACAACACCTGGCAATAGTCACAGTGTGGGTCAAATGTCAACATTATAAAAGGATGGGTAAACAACCTGCAATATACGCAATGCCATATTTCAACAATAAAAAGACATAAGCTATTGCTATTTACTTATAACAACATAAATGAATCCCCAAAACATTTTCCTGATGTTTGAAAGAAGCCTTGCATAAAACAACTATACACTCCATTAGGCTATTTACATGAGGAAAAATAGGCCAAAGTAATATACAGTGACAAACAAGAGAAGTGGCTGCCCTATGTGATCCAACAGAGAGCATGGCAGTGCCGAGTGCACCGTGGACTGACCTGGGAATGTGAACGCCATTCATTTCATCATGTAGTTATACACACAGAACTGGTACCTCAAGTGGGAAGGACCACATTGCTTTCTCAGTGGTGGAAATTCCCTAAATCTTGATTGGTATGTGAATTACATTTGTATATATTTGCTAAAATTAACCAAACTATACTAAGATCTGTATCCTTCACTTCTTTTTTTTAAATTTTATTTTGAAGGTAGTAAAAATACAATAGAAGAAGACTCGACAAAGCCAATCGAGACAAGCAGTGAAATTGGTACAGAACTTCACAGCAGGATACTGGGATAGTAGTAATAGGTACTATGGTATAATCTCATTATCTTCACAATAGTTGTCCAGTCAATTAGGCACAGCAAAATCAAACCAAAAACAGAACATTATAAAACCAACTGAAAGAGAATACTGAATAGAGCAAAATCTCATAAAGAAACCAAACAGTGAAAACAACCTTTGCCTTCAAACAGAAGATAGAAGGAAATCCGTCATATTTGCTATATTGTATATGGTCATCCTCCCAAGAGATGCTCCCAGACCTCTATCCCCAGTTGCTAATGGGGGGTGGGGTGCAGATATTTGATTCTCAGCCCGTGCGCCAGTAGGCTCACGGAGCCGCTGGTTCTCTTCCTGGCCCACGCCAGGGCTGCTTAGCAAGAGGGCAGGCGAATTGCTTTCTTGTGCAGCCGCCTAAGTTCCACCATGGCCAGATCTCAGAGCCGCACTTACCAAGAGGGTAGGTCTTTCACTTCTTTATAAAAAATTTTTTCCAGTACTGGAAATTGAATTCAGGGCCTTCACACTGAATTACATCCTTTGTCCTCTTTTAGTTTGTTTTGAGACAAGATCTTGCCAAGGCATTCAATTGCTCAGGCTGGGCTTGAACTTGTGATCCTCCTGCCTTAGCCTCCCAGTGTTGAGATTACAGGTGTGTGTTGCTGTGCTAGGTTTACATATTTATCTTTTTAAAAAATTACCTGAGGGCTGGGGATTTAGCTCACTGGCATAAGTGCCTGCCTGGCAAA